GTTTCCACAAAGACTGGTAGGCACATCAGGAAGAGGCAGGGCACTGTCCTGAGGTTGGTGTTGCAGGCAAGCAGACTTTTGTGAATTTTAAAAAGATTTATTTCCATTAGGCAGATCAGATTTATGGAGAAAGAAATCTTCCATCCACTGGTTTACTCCCCAAGCAGCCGCAATGCTGGGGCTGAGCTGATCAAGCCAGGAGGTCTCCCATGTGGGTGCAGGGTCCCAAGGCCTTGGGCTGTCCTCCGCTGTTTTCTCAGGCCACAGGCAGGGAGCTGGAAGGGAAATGGAGCAGTTGGGACATGAACTGGCATCCATAAAGGATCCGTACTGTATGCTACACCACTGCACCGCACCAGGAGGCAGGTTCTAACTCACATGTATGCCTGTGTGTGGACAGCTGTGCAGACTTGTATGCGAAAGCAAGCAGGAAAGGGGCAGGGCTGGGGCGGGACCAAGGGGCCCTGGAAGGTGGGGTGGCGGGAGGTAGGCAGCCCTTGAGGAGTAGCAGGGTCAGCAGGTGCTTGTGTACCCCAAACCTGCACCAGGAGAAGCAGGAACCACAGACAGGTGCCTGGACACAGGGTTCTTGCTTGGTCTGTGACGCCCAGGTCCCAGGCTGGCTCGGGGAACCATTGGTAATGCCAGGAGGGTAGGGCCCACAGGTTGGAGGTGGGGAATGGGTGTGTGTGTAGCTCCAGAAGGTGCAGGACAAGCAGGTGGGGGCCTCAGCCTCACCTGCTGCAGTGAGAAGATGCTGGCGTGTTGGACAGCTGGGCCAGGCTGACCAGGTAAAGCTGGGCTCAGGTGGGTGTGGGTCCAGGGCATCCCCACAGCTGACCGGCATACTGGCGCCAAGGGGTCTCAGACTGCACTAGCCGCAGGAAGTGGCCAGGACTGATAAGGGCGGGAGTCGGAAGCCACGCAGCCTCTCGCTTCCTGAGGGCCCTGTGGCCTCAGCGCTGAGCGAGACACTGCATCTGGTTTGTTTAAGCAGGACCAGGTGGCAGGGCCCAGCCTGGACATGCACAGCAAAGTGCAGATGTTGTCTGTGGCGCTGCTGGGTTGTCTAGGCATCCTGTAGATGGATACACTTGGGGTCAGGGGGCTGCTTCCCAGTGGGCTGGTCTCCGTGTTGTCCCAAATGCCTTCCACACCACCATCCTGGGGGGAGGCTCCTGGATGCCTAGGGCAGCCCCCTACACACACACCTCCAGCTGCTGGTTTAGCCCAGCCCCCCTACCCAGGGTCCCTGTAACACGCACACCACTTACAAACCTCCATGGCCTGCTCCTGGAGAAAGGAGTTTCCAGGGGCATGGCTGTAATGCCCACCCCCACACACAACACCTGAAGCATACCCACACCCCCCTCTCCATGCCAGAGAGCCACTCGTGCCGCGACTCCACCCATGGCAAGCGGCGGGGGGGGAGGGGCGCAGCCGACATCACATCCAAGGTGTCCAACCCCTCCTGGGGGCGCCGTTGTCCAGGCCCGCGATGCAGGTCCCAGGTGTTCGTGGAGCCAAGTGGAGCGCGCCGGCTCCCTGTTGGTCCCTGTGAAGCAGTGCAGCGGACCCGTCCTGCTGCTCTTATCGGCGCTGGCAGCTGGCGACCGTCCCTGCGCGAGGGTCCCGGCCAATTCAATGGCCATTGTCCGCCGGTGCCTTTGTTCAGGAGGCGGCCACTTCCTGCGGGCCAGGCCAGGCGGGCGGGCAGGAAACGCCCCGGCTGAAGCCAGACCCAGAGGCCAGCCTAGACGGGGATGCCCAGGGGTCGCAGGAGGGTCCCTCCTGGGTTGCCTTGTGCAGCCGCGCCGGCCCTGCCTCCCCATAGGAGGCGCCCTTGGGCTCTGGGAAAAGATGTGCCGCTCAGATGGCCCCCTCACAGCCCGTGCCAGGTCTGTGCTTACACCCTACTTGCTGTGAGGTCCTTGGGACAGAAGGGCCGGGTTCACCATACCACTGTCCACACCAGCCCTCTCCAGATGCTCTGTGATCTCTGGCAGCCTTCACCACTTCCCTCCCTGCACACTCGGCCCAACCCTGGTAGAGAAGCTGGCATTGCATCCACAGCAGTGAGGAGAGGGTAGCATAGCACAGGACAGCATGTTGAGCCACAGCCTGTGACACCAGCACATTGCCCTGGAGCACCGCGTCCCACCCACCTGGGAGACCTGGAACTCCTGGCGAAGCCTTGGCCATCGGAACCATCTGGGGAGTCAACCATGGGATACCAGGTCTCCCACTCAGCACTGAGCATTAGGAAATCAATTTGTACAAAAGAAGCAATTTGTACAAAAGAGCATTAGGAAATCAATTTGTACAAAAGAAGCAACACCTGCAGGCAACTACCACCATGACCAGCTGGCCATGACCCTGCCACTGTCGGCTATGCTACCGCCACTCTGGCCAGACCTCTGGGGCAGAGGCCAGCAGGTGGGAGCAGGGTGAGTGAGGCAGGAGGTCGTGCCCCAGGAGCACCTCACTAAGCCTGCAGGTGGGCGGCTGATCATCCTCAGGGGGTTCCTGTCCCTCACAACAGAATCCTGGATGGAGCTCCTGGCACCCGGCCAGTACGGGCACATGGCATTGCCTGGGGGATGGGCACTGGCTCTGTCCACCTCATGTATTTTTTAAAAAGATTTTTTTTTTTAATTGGAAAGGCAGATATATAGAAGAGGAGAGACAGGAAGATCTTCCATCTGTTGATTCACTCTCCAAGTGGCCGCAACAGAGCTGAGTTGATCCGAAGGCAGGAACTTCCTCCAGGTCTTCCAAGTGGGTGCAGGGTTCCCAGGCTTTGAGCCGTCCTCCACTGCTTTCCCAGGCCACAAGCAGGGAGCTGGATAGGAAGTGGAGCCGCGGGGACATGAACCGGCATCCATGTGGGACCCTGGTGCACGCAAGGTGAGGAACTTAGCCGACAGGCTACTGTGCCAGGCCCTTACCTCATGTATTTTACAAAACCTGACAGATGGCAGCGCCTGTCTGTGAGTAGCAGGCATGAGGAGGTGGGGCGCAACCTGACCCCCCATTTCCCCCTTGAGTTAGGGGCAAAGGGCATGAAGGACAAAAGGAGGGCTGAGAAGCAGCCCAGGCCTGGGGTCAGCCCAGCACTGCCCAGAGACCTGCGCCCCACAGAGGGGAGAGCCAGGGAGGAAGGTGCCCAGCAAGGGCCTGGCCACGCCAGAGTCCTTCAGTCCACAGGCTACATGGACATCGAGACAGGAGGTGTCAGCGTTGTGCTTACTACCTGTGATCAGGATCCTACACGGGTGCAGGTTCAAGTCCCATCTGCTCCACTTGCAATCCAGCTCCTTGCTGCTGGCCTGGGAGCTGGGGTCCCTGCATCCATGTGGGAGACCCACAAGAAGCTGCTGGCTATGCTGTCATTTGAGGAGGGAACCAGCAGCAACTCTCCCTGCCTCCTCACTTTCCAGTATGTGGATCAGATGAGGGAGAAGGCTTGTGCCACTGGGGGGACTCAAGAGCCAGATGGTTTGTCCAGGGCTTCTCCAAACTCCAGCAGGGGTGGGGGGCAGGGGCAAGGAGAGAACTCTGGTGTGGGGCAGGGCTGTCCTCAGCTCCATCCACACCTCGCCCCCACCGCTCCAGCACCATGTCCATGCTCCACGCGGCCTGGCTCGCCTGTTGGGCCTCCTGTAGACTGCCGGCAGGGCAGTGAAGGGCCCTCCATATTGGCTGGGACTCCAGGGGTCTCTTGGTGGGAGTTCTCCCCGTGAATCACCCCTTCACAGCAGGCACAAATGCAGGAAGCTGCCATTCTGTGAAACGCTATTTTCTCTCCCCGAGAAGGTGGGTCCCTTGGAAGGCATTGTTCGTGGGCTCGCTGGGGACTGGCTGGGGCCCTGGCCGAGCCGTTTCCCTTCGAGACCCAGGGGCGCCGGGTGGCTGGGAGTCGGGGGCCTGGATCCAGCAGCATGTCTACAAGGCAGAGCCTGGGTGGAAACCCCGCAAGGCAGAGCCGGACAGCCTGGAACAGGGCCAGCCCCAGGTCCAGCACACTCCCATACAGGGCTGGCCGGGAGAGGGGCAGCCCCCACCCCGCCTGCTGACCAGCATCTCACTGGGGGCATTCCAGAGCACCACTCCCATGTCTTCAGCTGAAGGCTTGCCATCCATGGGACCATGGCTCTGCACCATGCTGAGGCCTCCAGGCTGTCTAGAGGCCTCGTGCCTGGCTGGGGCTGGCATCCAGGGCACCTGAGCTGTGGACAGCAGTCGCTGGCCCTGTGGCTCTTGAGGTCGGATCGGGGCACAGTAGATAAGGGGAGTGTCTGTGGGCCTGGGAGTGCCCTGTCCATGGAACCCTGGGACATCAAGCGTCCAGACCAGAGCCTTCTGAAGGGTGGGAAGGCCCGCAGGGCTGGAGGCGAAGTTGGCTTCCCAGGGACCTGCAGGCCCCGCACTGCCGAGAGGATGTGGGGAGGGTTGTATACAGTCCCTATCGGGAGACGCAAATAAGGCTGGGCCCAACCGAGCTCCTCAACCCTCACCCCAGCTGGGCCCGGCTTCTGAGCAGCCCCGTCCTGCCACAGGGCATGCTGAAATCTGTCTCCAAGCCCACCTGGGGCTCCTCACTCCAGCGGACCGAGGGGGTGACCCTGAATTCAGCCGGGCCGAACTGGGCTTTGGGGGATGAACCAGCAGATGGCAGCTTCTAACAAATGAAAATCTACTCAGCCGGCAGCAGACAGCAGGTCCGGGGACGCCAGGACAAGCCCCAGGCGCTCGGCCTGGGTGCGCGCAGCTCGGTGCGTGGCCAGCCCCCTGGAGCAAGAGCCTGCGCTGGGCAGTCCCTCCGCCCAGTCTTCCCACGCTCGGCGACCGCGGCCAGGCGCACGCAGCGACTCTTCCTCTGCTTCCAGAGACTTCCTCACGCACGCCTCCCGCTGCAGCCCGCGCACCTGCCGCTCCCCGGGCGCACTGGGCATGCTCCGACGCTTCCTGCGCCGCCCCAGCCTGCCCCGCGCACCGCCATGGAGCGCATCGAGGGCGCAGCAGTGGGTCCCTGCGCCTCGTCGCCCTACCTGCAGCCACTCAGGCTGCACTACGGCCAGGTGAGCCCGTGCGCCCGACCCCCTCGCGCGCCCGCGATTCCGGTCCCTCCTGGGCTCCGCGCGAGCCCCGCCCATCCGTCAGGCCCCGCCCACCCTGCGCTTCTGTCCACCAGGCCCCCGCTCACCTGGCTCGTTGGTTGCCGGGTCGGGGCGCGGTGGGCAGAACGGCTCCTGCAGGTGGTGGGTTCCAGGCCAGGATGGGGTAGGCGGCCAGAAGGCGCAGGGCAGGGATCCCGTCTAGGTGGGCTTACCCCCAGGGGCTTCCTGGGTCAGGCACCACTGGGGTCTCTGCCTGGCCCGTGGCCCAAGGCCTCATCTCTTGCTGCCCTGGCAGACCTGCTCGCCTAGCTTGGCACTAGTCCTGGCTGGACTCTAGTGCTTGTCTACCACCCTTCTCCCTCCTGCCTACTGCGGAGGTGTGCTGGAGGTCCTCCCTGCTATCTCACCCAGGCTCCTGCCCCTGGACAGACCCTGTGAGAAGGGCCCATCGCCCTGCCTGCCTCATGATCCTCTCCCATACAGGAGCTGCTGGGCTGTAGGATGCAGGGGTGCTAGCCTTGGGGGTTCCTGCTGATGAGCCCTACTGGGGCCTGCCCGGGCACTGCCGCTCAGGTGTAAAGGGCCTGGTGCAGATGCAGGAGCAGGTGCTTGGGTCCATTCCCTCCCCAGGGGGCAGTTGCGGGCCACAACTGACCAGGGTGGGCCTGGAGGGTGGACAGCCAGCCAGCCCCAGAGTCTTGTGCACACTGAGTCCTTCTGCCCTGAGCAGCCTGGGGCAGCCCCAGAGCTGGTCCTGGGGGCCAAGCAGGGCGGGGGAGGAGGGGAGGGAGAGGCCCTGTCCCACACAGGTCCCTGGTGTCCAGTAGTGGGTGCTCACCCCAGGGACCCAGCATCAACACTGAGCTTCTTCAGCTAGCCCTGCTGCCCTGGGCCTCCATGGGCTCTGGCTGGACCCATGGGCAGACACACTCTGGGGGCCTGATCCACAGGGTCCCTTGAGGTGTGAGCAATGCTGAGACAGGAGTTGTGGGGCAGACCGGGGGGCATACCTTTCCTGGACTGGCCCTGGGTAAGGCAGGCCTGAGTTCACCTGCACCCCACAGCCTCTGGCCACCTGGCAGCCATGGACATCTGCCCTGCCCCTGGAAGCCAGGCTGCCCTCGCCCAGGGTGCCTCTGCCCAGGCCAGCAGGGTCTGTCTTCCCTCACCGGTTACCTCCTTCAGGAAGGCCAAGTCTGTGCTTTCCATCTCGAATGGAGCCTGGGTTTGTCCTGGGCTGGTGAGTACTGAATGCTGGCACTGGGCAGGGCCAGGTGAAGTGGCAAGGTCTGTGTCAGTGTCCTGGGTGGTGCTGGCCCCTCACCCCCCAGCATGGTACTCAAGCCTTTTTGGTGCTGGTCTTGACTACCCCTGGGGAGCCTGGATCAGGCCCCTGTCCTACCCTCCCTACCTTGGTATCCTGCCTCCTGGACCATCCTGCCCAGTACAGCCTGCCCTCCCCCAACAGTGCAGGCTGCCATCCCCCACAGTGCAACTGTTCCCCAGTACAGGCTCTCTCCACCAATGGAGCCACACACAGTTCAGGCTGTCCCCCACAATGAGCTCCCCCAGTGCAGGCTGCCCCCTGACATGTACCTGTCTGGCCAGCTCACCCCAGGGCACCCCCAAGTCCTGGGATTTCATGAAGACCCATGACAGGTGAGCGCCCCCACCAGTCCTGCCCCCGTGGCCCAGCCACTGCTTTCCTGTCCCTGAGGGCTCAGCAGTGATAGGCAGGCCTCCTAGAAGCCCAGAGGCCCTCTGGCTCCCTGTCAGCTGGCACACTGTAGATCTGGTCCTGGCCTGCCATGCAGCCCTGGCTGGCCTGTCTCCACTCTGCCCCTTCTGCCCCCCAGTGTGACTGTGCTGCTGTTCAAATCTTCCCAGAGGAGCCTGGTGCTGGTCAGGCAGTTCAGCCAGGTGAGGCCCAAAGTGGGGCTGTGGTGACCATGTCCCCTCCCCAGTTGTGTATGCAGGTGAGGTGCAGTGCTGCTTCCCGGGAACCCTGGCCGTGGTGAGGCAGGATGGGCCCCAGGAGCTGCTGCCTGCTCTGCTTGGTGCAGCGGGGCTGACCGTCCTGTGCACACCTAGCTGTGTGGAGCTGTGTGCTGGCCTCATGGACCAGCTGGGGCTCTCGCTGGAGGAAGTGGCTCCAAGATGTGGGAGGAGTGTGGCTACCGCCTAGCTCCCTCTGACCTCCACAGGGTCGCCACATCCAGGTGAGAGCCGTGGCCTGGTTGGGCACGTGGGGCTGGGGCAGGAGACGCAGGGCTCGCCAGCGTGAACCAGGGCACTCAGGCGCCTGCAGCATTCTGGGCCTCTGCCCCTGCCCTGCAGCCCCCCACGTGGGGACTGGCTTGGGGTGGCAGCTGCTGTGCCGACAGATGCCTCCACTTCCTGTGGGATTAAGCACCGGGACTGGGGGTGGGTGAGTCACAGCTCCCTGTCAGGAACCAAGGGACGGCCAAGTCCCAGCTGGGAGAGGTGTGGCCTGTGCCTGGCCCGCAGCACCCAGGCATTCCTGCTGCACCCCCCCGCACCCCCCCCCAGCTGCCCTCCCACAGGATGCTGGCACGAAGCCCATGCCCCGGGGATGGCTCAGTCACCCAATTGGGCAGAAGGGACAGGAGGAGGGTCAGCCCACAGAGAGCCCTGTGCTCTGCCATGGACCTGGGGGGCAGTTGGTACTAAGCCAGGATTTCCACACCAAAGACTGGGAGCAGAGGTGCAGGCGGGTGGGATGGGCCAGAGTCCCAGGCAGTGGGTGCTCCGCCTAGAGGAGGGGTGGGAGTGAGGAAGCCTGGATGTAAGGGCAGTCCCTTAGGTGATAGGCCAGGTCACACACAGACAGGACTGGCCTGAGACGACGGTTCTGGGCAGGTTGGAGAAGGTGGGCAGACACGGACAGGACTGGCCTGGAAACCTGGCTGGGGTGAGGAATGGGGTCCCCATGCTGGCCTCTCTAAGGGCCCCCTTGCCCTGGGACGGCCCCCGTGGGCCCACTTTGCTCTTGTCCATACCACCAGACCCGATTACCCCCCTCTCCATTCCAGATCGCTCTGCCACTTCACCACTGTTCACACCAGTTCTTTGTCCTAGAGCCCTGCCCCCTTCTCTCCTGCCCGTCACCCCATTCACCTGCTGAGCTGGGCAGTGCTGTCACTGGCTGCCCCCAAGAAGTGCTCACAGGACCCTAGGCCATCCCTGTACCCTGGGGCGTGGGCAGCTGTCACCAGGTGGGCTCCAGGAGAGCAGACAAGGGCCTGAGGCCCTTCCAGATCCCTGCAGCCAACGGCAGCCCTGCCCCACCACTCGCTGTCCTCCCCGTGGCCTGGTGCTCTGCTGAGACCCTGTGGGACAGCTGTCCATGGTCACTTCCATCTTTGACCTCAAAACTCTTGTCTGGTGAGGCTGAGCCCACCAAGAAAAGCTCCTCTTCCTGATGAGCCCTGACGACCCCATGAGGTCCAGGCGTGTGCACAGCAGACCCATTTCCACCACAGGTCTGTGTGGGGCTGATGGGCTCCTGTCAGACCATGTTCTTCTATGCCGAAGTGACTGACGCCCAGCATAGTGGCCCAGGTGGGGGCCGGCCCGAGGAGGGTGAGCTCATTGAGGTTGTGTACCTGCCCCTGGCCGGAGCCCAGGCCTTCGTGGACAGCAGGGACAGCTCCAAGACTCTAGGCGTCATCTTTGGCATTTCCCGGTTCTTCAGCCACGTGGCTCCCACCTGCGTGTCCAGAGAGGGCCTCTACTCTGCTCCCCACCACAATAAAGGCTTGTACAGCTCTGGTGCCTCTATCTGCTGGCTCCACGCCCCACAGCCTGGGCCAGCCCTGTGAGGGTAGGCTGTGCATCCGGGTGCCAGGGAGGGCAGAACAACACCTCAGACCTCCTGGGCCCTGGAATGAGCCTGCTCATGGGAAAAGGATGAGGACACAGCCGCCAGGGGTAGCCTGGCCTTGTGACCCTGCCGGGCCTCACTCGGCCTGCCCACAGTATGAAGACGCCCGAACTGACCCAGCTCTAGCATGGAGTGGCCCACCAGCCGTTAGGGTACCCAGCAAACCCCAGAAGCCCCCTTCCATGTCAACAGCTGGCTTAGCCCTTCGAATGGCTCGGCGGCAAGCTGACAGCTCAGAGAGCAAGGGGGATGGGAGGCAGCTCCACCTGTGCAGGACAGCCACAGGAACGCCAGCGTGAGGCTAGCAGACAGGTCCTTCCAGGGGTGGGGAGCCAGCTTGGCCCCTGGAAGGACTCCATCCCTCGGGCACTGCCCTGGTAGGTGTGGCGAAGGCAGTGAGGTGTCCAAGGGCTGGCAGCCCCCACACGGGAGCTGTAGCAGTGGTGGCTTTGCTGAGCCCACCTTCTGCTCTTGCCCTGGTAACCCTGGGGCAGGGCACAGCAGGCAGCAGCTGGCTCCTGTGGAGATGGTGGGAGCCATAGTCGGGCTTCCTGCCCCTGCTCCATCTGGGGTGTTCTCTGGCTATCCCAGCCTGGGCAGTGGCCCAAGGGGCCCTTAGTGCAGTGCCCGGCAGCCCCAGGTGCTCGCTTTGGAGCAGGCCACGCTGAGGCCCAGCACCTGTATGCAAATACTGGCTGTGCGTCCCAGATGGGGCCCAGCCAGGCCTGGGACAGTGCTCCCAGGAGGGTCCTTGCAAGCTGTGGTCCTGCCACCTTGGCAGCCCACCTGGCCTCTGAGCTGACCCACAGGTCCTGCTCACTGCCTCTAAGGTGCTCTGGCAGACCCAGGCAGGTGCCTGGTGGGCAGATGGGGCCAGCACTAGGCTTGGGTGCAGTCCAGCCCCTTACTCTGCCATGCAGCCCACAGGGCTGTCAGCAGGCACTGCTGGGCTAATGGAGCCGGCATCGATTTCCCGGCATGGGGGGGTGGGGGCTGTAACCGGAAACTCCCCTCCGTTGCTGCTATATTTAGCACCATTGGATGAGGGAGGAAGCACAGCTTACTCCAGTCAGCCGGCTGGATAGCCAGGCAGCCCAGCACCAGCACAGCCCTCAGGCCCCCACACGGCCCCCAGCGCCCAGTGTGGCTTGCCTGAGCTGAAAGAGGCCTTCTGGCCAGGGAGGGCCTCCTGGAAGCAGCCTTGCAACCTGGCCAGCATGTAGGGATCCCACCCTGCACGCGTGAGGGCAGGCAGTGGTTACCTGTGGAAGGCTGGGAGAGGACACAGGGGTGCCAAGCCGCCTCTCTAAGGACCTGGGTGCCCTGAGGCCCTCCCTGCGGCCTCTCCTAGGGCTTTGCTTCCCTGGCTTGGACCTTGCTGGCCTTCCTACTCGCTGTCACAGTCCTGGTTTGTCCCTGTCTGCCTTAGGGGGTGGGCAGAAGGCCTCGCGCCCACCTTGCACTGGTCGCTGAGACAGAGTGGGGTCCTCCACCTCCCCGGCGTCACGTAGTAACTAATTCTCCCTTATGGTGGGGGGGCTGTGTGTGTGGCCTCCACCCACCTGCCAGCCTCGGGGTCCCGGGTGGGTGTGGGGGAGACCGTTGCCCCCAAAGCCCTCCTCTGGGAAGCACTGCAGTGCCACAGTCCATTCTATCAGGGAAAAGCCCGCTGTGCGGTGGTCAGTCGCCGAGTACGGGGTCTCCGATTGCGCGGGGGACCCCTGCCCTGCGGGAGCGGCCAAGCCACCTGACGGGACACCCACCCACTGCCCTTCTCCGGGCTCAGACCTGTGGCCTCGACCTCCACAGCCGCGGACCCGGAGAGCACCAGCCGGGCCCGTGCCTAGCGGAAGGCAGCGCAGGGGCGCACGGCGCAGCGCCGGCGCCAGAGAGGAGCGGCGCCCCCTGCAGCCGGCGCGGGGAGGGGGCGCGCGAGGGTGCGGTGCCGCGCGTGGGGCCGACCCGGCGCGCGGAGGGAGGGGGCCGCGGCGGTGACCTCAGCGGGAGCCGCTGCACCGCTGCCCGACCCCCGGCAGGAGCCCGGGTCCGAGCTGCCTCGCAGGGCGCGCGCGGGAGCACGCGGCCAACCCCGCGCCCTCCACCACCGGGGCGCTGCCGGGCGGCGCCCTCCGCCGCCTTTAAAGACCGGGGCGCCCCCGGCCCCCCCTCCGCGGCCCCACCCCACGGCGCGCCCCGCCCCCTCATGCATATGCAGGTGCGCGGGTGACGAATGGGCGAGCGAGCTGTCAGTCTCGTCCCGAACTTGTTGGCTGCGGGGTCGGGAACGCGGGCGCACGGAGCCGAGGCCGGGACCCGCCGCCGCCGCCGGGTGGGAGCCGGGCCGGGCCGCCGAGCGCGGCAGCCTGCGAGCCGGAGCCGCCGCCGCCCCCGCCGCACGCTGCCCAGGCCCGCGCGCGGCGCTGCGCTCCTCCCCGCCCGCGCCGCCGCCGCCCCTCGGCTGCCGCGCTCGGAGGCGGGCGCGCGGGCGGGCGCAGGGAGGCCGGCGCGGCGGCCCGGACCGGGCGCAGGCGGCGGCGGCGGCGGCGGGGTGGAGACGGCGATGCGGGCGCGGGGACGCGGGCGACTGCCCCGGCGGCTGCTGCTGCTGCTGCTGCTGCTGGCGGCGCTCTGGATGCAGGTGAGCGGGGCGCGGACGGGGCGCACCGGGCCGCCCCTGGGGACCCACGGGCCCCGCCTGCTCCCGGTGGCTCAGAAGCCCCGGAGGCTGCGCACGGCGGCGGTGCCTGCGCCCCGCGGCGCCCCGACCCCGGCCCGCGCCTCCCTCGTTCTCCGCTGCCTTATTTTTAGGCGGCGCAGCCCATGGGCTATTTCGAGCTGCAGCTGAGCGCGCTGCGGAACGCGAACGGGGAGCTGCTGAGCGGCGCCTGCTGTGACGGCGACGGCCGGACGACGCGCGCGGGGGGCTGTGGTCGCGACGAGTGCGACACGTACGTGCGCGTGTGCCTGAAGGAGTATCAGGCCAAAGTGACGCCCACGGGGCCCTGCAGCTACGGCCACGGCGCCACGCCCGTGTTGGGCGGCAACTCCTTCTACCTGCCGCCGGCGGGCGCTGCGGGGGACCGAGTGCGGGGGCGGGCCCGGGCAGACGGCGACCAGCACCCGGGCCTTGTCGTCATCCCTTTCCAGTTCGCGTGGCCGGTACGTGCGCCCCCCACCCTCCGCGTCGCAGCCCTGCCTCATCCTCCGCCAGCACCTGCGGCCTGGCTTGTGGCGCGCGCGCCCAGACGGGGTGGGGCCGGCGGGAGGCAGCGGGGCTGCGGGGGACACGAGCTCCGGGGCCGGGTCCGAGCCGGGCCACGTGGGCGCGCGGTGCGGCCCGGGCGCAGGGTCGCGGCGGGGCGGGGCCGCGCGGCGGGTCTCCAGCGCGTGCCTGTGTTGCCCCGCGCGTGTCTGCCTGGGCGGGGAGGCGCACAAGGCCCCCGAGCGAGGCATGTGCGCCGCGCGTGCTGGGGCTGGTCCGGGGCAGGCCCTGGCGGAGCAGCCCCGGGCCCGCGGCCAGCCTGCAACCGCCCTGCAGCTTCCTGGATGCCTGGGGGGCGCGTGCGGGCGCTGGGGGACTTGGGTGAGCCTCCTGCGCTATGTGCTGGCCAGATGTCCGGAGGGGGTTTGCAGGGGAAGTGATATTCCTCTGCCGGCGTGGTCCTCCGGGTTGCCCGCCGCGGTAGGGCTCTGGGTCTTTTTGGTGATCACTGGAAGGCGCTTGGCTCAGCCCTGGGCGGCGCTGATGATTTGGGGGTGGGAGGCGGTAAGGTGGTCAGAGACCCAGCAGCTTGCCCTTGCTGGGAACAGGATGGCGTGCGCTTGCGAGCTGGCTGGCACTGTCTCAGGCCGTGTTTTTGGCTGTGGATTCCTGGTCTGTCCTCCGTCTGCCCGACAGTGTAGCCTGGAATTGGCAAGGGGCAGGAGGAAGATGCCCTGTGCGTGGGTGTCCAGCATAGGGGTGTGAGTAGGGGGCAGGGCAGGAACATGCAGGCCCTTGCAGGCTTCATAGCCAATCAAATGGGCTGGACTCTGGTGGTCGCATCCCTGAGGGCACAGCTTGCTCAGTGCCTCCCCCCCTTACCTGAGCCCCCCTGTGGCCAGGCCTCTGACCCTGAGTGCTCGGCTTGGGAGGGACCCCAGGCTGTCGGAGGGGGCCAGCCCCTCGCCCCCGCAGCGGCCTAGCAGGCAGGTCTGAGCAGGGCCCAGCCTGTCATCTGTGCTTGGGCCTGAGCCAGCACGGCTCCAAATCGCTACCTGAGGATGTGTTTTCTGCTCCAGCTGGCAGAGGTGGGTGTGGGGGCAGGGAGGCCTGGAGGAATGCAGCGGGCCAGCGCGCGTCCCTCAGTCGCTCGGCTGTGGGATGGGCCGGGGGCAGCCCCGGCCTTCCTGCTGCCCTGGTGTGCCCACCACAGAGGGAGCCAGGAGTTTGGGGGGCAACTCCAATCCCCCCTCCAGGTGCTGCGCAGCCTGCCTGCCAGGCGCATTGCCCGCCGGGTGATGCCAGCACCCTGGTCTTTCCTCCCTGTCCACGCAGCCATACTGCCCTGACTTGTTGGGGGTCCAGCTCCGACCTGCGGACTGGGACACATTTGAAAACTAGGTGCACATGCCCCAGGGAACTAGACAGCACGCTCAGATGGGAGAGGCGCCCCTGGCCTCTTGGGCGCCCTGGGGAGGAGCTGGAGCCAGGCGTGCCCTGCCCAGTGGCTTGGCCTGGTTGGGGTCCGTGGGGTCCTTGTGGCCCTGTGCTGGTCTCGGGCTTGGCAACCCGAGTGGATCGACCTAGGGTCTTAATGCCTGAGTCTGTGATTGCCTGCCCATATTCTCTCCTAGGAAGGTACTCTTCCTGGGCAGGGGAGTGCCAGGCCCCATGTGTGCCAGGTCTGGAAGGGGCCTCATGGGGTTCAGGCTGCACCTGCTGGCTGAGGGAGGAGTGCAGTGGCCAGCAGGTGACTGGCCTGGGAAGCCAGGGTCCTGCCTAAAGAAGACAGGACCTCTTCCTACCCAGCTCACCTACCCCACTCAGGGGTATGGTTGTGGCAGGCTGGGGCACTGGGGTCTCAGAGCAACACTACGAAGCCCCTGTCGGCTGCCCACTCCCCACCCCTCCCAGGGGCGTGGACAGCTGGCCTGGCTTTGTGGCACAGGGAGGTTCTGACTGCACGCTGCCATGGGGCCTGGCCAGACAGGCCCGGGAAGGGTGAGCCTGTGGGGAGGACCTGCTGGTCTGAGGAGATGCCGGCCTACTGGTATGTGTGCACACGCCCTGCTGGTGCGTGTGGAGCCCGAGTGTACCATGCAGTGCGCGTGCCTGCAGGGTCCTGGCCAGGGATGGCACCAGCTGCTCCTGCTGTGCCTGGGGCTGTGTCGACCCCCGACAATGGCGGCTGAGGCCAGGCTTCCCTTATCAGGTTTCAGGAAATGCATCTGTGGCACCAGACTCTGCTCCCCAGGGGCATGGGGCGGGGATGCTGGGCCTCAGCCCTGGGGTGTGCCGGGAGTGGGTCCGGTCTGTCTGGTGTCTTAGGGCTGCTGCCCTGTTAAGCCTGTGTGGGGACCGGGAGGAGGTGAGCTGGGTGGTGGTTCTGCGCAGGCCCTCGTGTCGCTGCTGCTCGGAAGGAACCCGGGGCAGAGCCAGCCCCATCCCAGCCAGCAGTCACCAGGCAGGAAGGGTGGGTGAGGTGCTGTGTGCAGGAGGGGCTGGGAGGGCCTGGCAGGTGAGGCAGGGGCAGGTGTGCCCCGCCCACTGGCCCAGGTTCCGTTGGGGTGGATGCCTGCCGTCCAGGTGCGGGGAGCCCAGCTGGCGGGCGGGCCGGCGCATGTCCCCTCGGGAACAGTAACCGGAGCCCTAGGCTTGGGTGAAGGTGGCCGTAACCCTACCTGGGTAGCTGGCATGGGGTTTCCTGGGCGCCCTGAAGTCCAGGTGTGGTTGCCGGCTCTCCACCTGCCCTCCCCAACACTGGGACCCTGAGGTAGCTCTCCCAGCCCTGCCCACGCTGCTTCTTGGGATGTTTGCGGCCTCATCCTCAATGTTGGAATGAATGGCAAGGAGCGGAACTGGGAGACTGGGAAGGCCCCGGTGGTGGGGGCAGGCATCCCGGACATTCCAAGAGACAGGGGTGGGTATTCAGAGGACCCCAGTAGGTGTGGGGGAGACATGGAGGTGGGGAGGGGGCTTTAAGAGAGCTTTAAGAGTGCCCTGGGACCCTCAGTTCTAGCCTGTGCACCCGACTACAAGGGGGCACCAGGCCAGGTGTGGCATGCAGAGCCTGGAGCCTGGTTGGCTGTGGCTATGGCAGATTGGGCAGGGAGGGACTGGGGGTGCAGTCTTTCCAGGAAGCCCTGTTCTCGGGGCAGCTGGGCAGGGAACCCTCAGCATTTCCCTGGACAGCAGTTCGCCCTCCCCCGCCAAGGCACGAGCCCTGCTTCCATGCAGCCAGAGAGCCCAAAGAACGTGGCCACGGTGGTCCCTGAGGCCTGCAAGAGAGGAGTGGAGGCCATGCTGGGGCAGTCCTGGGCCTGGGAGAGGGTGGCCACCTGAGCGAAGGCCGTGCTGGGGCAGTCCGGGGCCTGGGAGAGGGTGGCCACCTGAGCGAAGGCCGTGCTGGGGCAGTCCTGGGCCTGGGAGAGGGTGGCCACCTGAGCGAAGGCCGTGCTGGGGCAGTCCGGGGCCTGGGATAGGGTGGCCACCTGAGCGAAGGCCGTGCTGGGGCAGTCCGGGGCCTGGGAGAGGGTGGCCACCTGAGCGAAGGCCGTGCTGGGGCAGTCCGGGGCCTCCAGGCCTTTTGGTCCTGGGCTCTGGTTCCTTGTCTGTGGGGGAGGCAACTAGGGGGACTCTCGTATACAGGCTCTGGGCACATGGTAGAGGGCAGTGCCTGAACGGGGCCCTGCAGGGCCGGGAGCTGCAGGCCCCTGATGGCCCCTTCTGTCCATAGCGTTCCTTCACCCTCATTGTAGAAGCCTGGGACTGGGACAACGAGACCACCCCTGACGGTAAGCGAGCCCGCTCCACTAGCCTCTTGGACAGCTCTTTTGGCCTCACCAGATGCTCATCCGAGCAGAATCTACAGACCCACGGCTGCATGCGGGGCCTGCTGCGTCGGGGCATCTGGGAGAGATGGGCAGGACTGGTCAGAGTAGCTGGAGCCACCCACAGGACAGAAGTGGGCGGTGATTGGGGACCTCAGGAGTGGGCTGAGTGGGGCCTGGAGCTGTTGCATCCAAGTGGTCCTCTTAGGGCCAGGGTTCTACTGGGGGTGTGTGGCGGCATGAGGAATAGGCTCTGGGGGGGCCCTGCCATCTTCATTGTGGTGCTGTCCCCAGTGGCTCGTGGGAATAGGGGCCAAGCCAGGCAGCCGCTGAGGCCACCTTCAGCTCGGGGCTCCCAGGAGATTGGGTCAGGTTGGGACTCAGCAGAGCAGGTCCCACGTGGGTGGACACCAGGCCTCCCAGCACCAGTGTCCCTGGTGGGCGGCAGCAGCAGCTGACTATGCCCCCAGAGACGCGCCTCATTGAGCGGGTGTCCCACGCGGGGATGATCAACCCTGAGGACCGCTGGAAGAGCCTGCACTTCAGCGGCCACGTGGCGCAGCTAGAGCTGAGGATTCGCGTGCGCTGTGGTGAGAACTATTACAGCGCCACCTGCAACAAGTTCTGCCGGCCTCGCAATGACTTCTTTGGCCACTACACCTGCGACCAGTATGGCCACAAGGCCTGCATGGATGGCTGGATGGGCCAGGAGTGCGGGCAAGGTGAGGCCCAGACAGAGGGAAGGGGAGGCAGGGGGCCTTGCCTGCCAGCCTGCCACAGCTGCCTTCTCTGCATCTCTGTTCCCAGCCGTGTGTAAACAAGGCTGTAACTTGCTCCACGGGGGATGCACCGAGCCTGGGGAGTGCAGGTGAGTCCCAGTGGCCTGGTCCTGGCCTCATGCCTGCCCAGTGCAGGCAGCCTGATGCCCTCGAGGGGGCAGACACCCTGCTCTTTGCTCCACGTGCAGGCGTGTCCAGTGGCCCCAGGAGGGGGTTGGTCAGCCCAGAGTGTGACTGACATTATGGGCACGTGCAGGCGGGAGGAGGCCTGTGGGGCCGGGAGGGATCTGCGTCCTCCAGGCAGGAGGGAAGTGCCCAGCCTGGAGGCCAGGTGGGCCACTGGAGTCTCAGGGGGCAGGGAAAGGTCATCTGTGGAAAGGGAAGACCAAATAGTGGAGCAGAGGGTTTGCAGGAGGCAGGGGGCTGCCTGGGCCTGGGTACCTGCCCAAGGTGTGAACCAGATGGGCGTGGCAGATGCACAGAGGGCCAGAGGGGACATGCGAACTTGATGCTGGGAGCACCTGCAGAGGTGGTGAGGAACCTCATGTCTTACCCCCAACAAGAGGTCCAGACAAGGCTGCTCGGGTGCCTGACCAGGGTCAGGGAGATCGGCGTGGGCTCTCAGCCTGCATGGTGGAGGTGATGTGGAAATTGAGCAGGCACCACGCTAGGGGTGTGGCCAGCAGCCAGGCCAGCTGCAGGCAGGGAGGGTGGGGGTGTGGTCCGGTGCCCTCCTTGGCCTCCCAGTAGCTCCGGTAGGGTTTGGGGGCGGTGTCCCCCACCACCGGATGCTGCAGCCAAGAGGAGATGGCTGGGCCTTCCTGTCACCCTCCCCAGGCCCCTGGAGCTGTTGGTGTGGCCCGCCCCCGCCCAGGGTGAGCACACCCCTGGGACCCATGTGGGCTACGCTCAGAGCCTGGCCGCTCCAGACCCCAAGCCTGTGCCCTGATCATCTGGGCGGCGGACACGGTGGCAGGTGCAGGCTGCGACACTGTGGGCCTCCTTGGCACCCTTCTGAGCTGGGGTGTGCTGGGCCCGGGGCTGCAGAGTTGGCTGTGTCGTCCTGGGCAGCTCAGGAAGGGAAGGGCCTGGCTCTTTCCTTTGACAAAAATAACCTGGTGTGGTGGGAGCCGGCGTGGAAGTGACGTGGCTTGGATGCGGTGCCACTGCCAGGCTCTCGGCCCGGCGCCCAGGCTGTAGACTGCAGCACCTGCCGCCCAGGCCACCTGCCCAGCCCCTGCAGGACTCCCAGACGGGACGCTGGCTGGCGGGCTGGGCCGACCCTGACCTCTGGGCGTGGCTAGAGAGTCAAGTGGCCTCTGAGGCCATTTCCCAGGGTGTGTCCCAATGTGACGGCCCCTCCCCCTCCCCTTCCTCAAGCTCTGCTGTGAGGCCTGGCTGCTGCCCTTGGATGAGATCATGCAGAGGGCCTGGGCCCCGCGGCCAGGACAGGGACGCCCTGCTGGCAGGCACCCCCCTGGGGACCCCATAGGGCCTTCCTTGCCTGGCGCCTGCTCTTGGGGCCCAGTTCAGGGGTGACTCCCAGAATAGCCCAGGAAGGAGTGATGGGACAGCTGGGCTGACCAGCCCGGGCCAGTGGCCGGGAATGCCCGTGACTGTGACCCCACTGGCTCAGGTGCCGCTGCAGACGATTGACCCTGTGGCTGAGCCCATCCCGGCCCTTCCAGGTGCAACTACGGCTGGCAGGGACGGTTCTGTGATGAATGTGTCCCCTACCCCGGGTGTGTGCATGGCAGCTGCGTGGAGCCGTGGCAGTGCAACTGCGAGACCAACTGGGGTGGCCTGCTCTGCGACAAAGGTGGCCGGCTAGGGAGGGCGGGGACAGGATCTGCCCCCTGTTGTGGGACACGGGGCAGTGTGGCCGGAGCCTGTCCCCTGAGCGTGCCTCCACCCGCAGACCTGAACTACTGTGGCAGCCATCGCCCCTGCACCAATGGGGGAACCTGCATCAACGTGGAGCCCGACCAGTACCACTGCGCCTGCCCCGAGGGCTACTCGGGCAAAAACTGCGAGCGGGGTATGTGGGGTCACTGCTGCGGCCCAGAGGCCTGGGCAGGGAGCGCTGACCCTCACCCTACCCACCCCTGCTCTGGTTCTTAGCGGAGCACGCCTGTGCCTCCAACCCGTGTGCCAATGGGGGTTCCTGTCATGAGGTGCCATCTGGCTTTGAGTGCCACTGCCCGTCGGGTTGGAGCGGGCCTACCTGTGCCTTGGGTGAGTGCTGGGCACGGGCCTGGGGGCTCTAGGTGCTGTGGAGGGCTGAGTGATGGAAGGGCACCCTCTCACTTGGCCAGGCCCACACGGCCAGGCTGCCATGCCCCTGGCCACCTCTTCAGGCCATCGTCTGTCCCCTGCAGACATCGACGAGTGTGCCTCGAACCCCTGTGCAGCGGGCGGCACCTGTGTGGACCGTGTGAACGGCTTTGAGTGCATCTGCCCTGAGCAGTGGGTGGGGGCCACCTGCCAACTGGGTAAGGACCCCCGGGCCAAGGGTGCATGCTGCCGTGCTGTGCATGCCGCTGGGGCTGCTGGGCTGCGGGGCCAGATGCGGCACGGGCATGGGGGCTTGGGCCCCACGGCTCCCCTTGTCTCTTCACAGACGCCAATGAGTGTGAGGGGAAGCCTTGCCTTAACGCTTTGTCTTGCAAAAACCTGATTGGCGGCTATTACTGCAATTGCAGCCCGGGCTGGAAGGGCGCCAACTGCCACATCTGTCAGTACAGGGAGGGGGCTGCAGGGTGGGCCTAGGGCACGGGAGCTCCACCAACACCCCTCTTGTGCCCTTAGATATCAGTGACTGCCGTGGCCAGTGCCAGCACGGTGGAACCTGCAAGGTGAGGACGGGGTGGGCGTGAGGCCAGTGGGCATTGCAGGGGCTCACCGGTGGTGAGGCCAGCAGGATGGGGTGGGCGTGGGGCCAGTGGGCATTGCAGGGGCTCACTGGTGGTGAGGCCAGCAGGAGGGGGTGGGCGTGCAACCAGTGGGCACTGCAGGGGCTCACGGGCCTCCCCACGCCCGGCCAGGACCTGGCAGACGGCTACCAGTGTGTATGTCCACGCGGCTTCGGGGGCCAGCACTGTGAGCTGCGACAGGACGCCTGTGCTGGCAACCCCTGCCAGGGCGATGGCCTCTGTGAGGACCTACCGGATGGCGGCTTCCGCTGCCACTGCCCCTCTGGCCTCTCGGGGCTCCTCTGTGAGGTGAGGCCTGGGGCCCGGAGCAGGGGCAAGGAGGCCAGAGTACTCTGGTGGCCGAGGAGTCCCGCCTGGTGGGAGGATCTCTCCAGCTCCCCATGTACCTGATTCCCCCAGGCCCAGGGGAAGATAGCTGACTCTGAGGGCGGCCAGACGGCGGGGTGGGGGATAGGAGGCAGCCTTCCTGCCGGATGCTGCCTCCGGGAGGCAGAGGAAGTTGGGCTGCAGCAGTGGCCAGGGCGGTGGGAGGAGGTCGGGGGCCCCGCAGGTGCTTCCGTCCGGCAGCCAAGGCCTGGATGGTGCTGGAACTGGGTGGAGGCGGAAGCAGGGGGGCAGCCTCGGGAATTCCCGAGGATCTGCCTATGCTGGGCATGTAGGTGGGGTTGGCCCTGACAGGTGTATTCCCGCCTCCGATGCTGTACAGGTGGCCGTGGACTTCTGCGAGCCCAGCCCCTGCCACAACGGCGCTCGCTGCTACAGCCTGGACGGTGACTACTACTGTGCTTGCCCCGAAGACTATGGCGGCAAGAACTGCTCGGTGCCCAGGGAACCGTGCCCTGGCGGGGCCTGCAGAGGTGTGCAGGCGGCCCGGGCAGGGGCTGGGCTGGGGGCTGGGCCGGGCGGCTCTGACTCCTGCCCCCTCCCACCTGCACAGTGGTGGACGGCTGCGGCCTCCAGGCCGGGGTGCCGTCCGGCGTGTGCGGCCCCCACGGGCACTGCATTAGCCAGCCTGGGGGTGGCTTCTCCTGTGCCTGCGACAGTGGCTTCACGGGCATCTACTGCCACGAGAGTGAGTGGGGCAGGGCCGGGCGGCCTGGGGACCCCCGCCCCATGTGCCTGGCTCACCCGGCTTCTCCCACAGACATCGACGACTGCCAGGGACAGCCCTGCCGCAACGGGGGCACATGCATCGACGAGGTGGACTCCTTTCGCTGCTTCTGCCCCAGCGGCTGGGAAGGCGAGCTCTGCGACACCAGTGAGTGGCTCCCGCAGAGCCCCGCCCCCGCCGGCAGCCCCGCCCCCACTGACCTCCCCGCCTCACCCTGCAGATCCCAACGACTGCCTCCCGGACCCGTGCCACAACCGCGGGCGCTGCCACGACTTGGTCAATGACTTCTACTGCGCGTGCGACGACGGCTGGAAGGGCAAGACCTGCCACTCACGTGAGCACCGTGCCCCCAAGCTCGGGGCGGGGTGGGTGCTGCCGCGGCCCGGTGCTGAGCACCCTGTGTCCACAGGTGAGTTCCAGTGTGACGCCTACACCTGCAGCAATGGTGGCACCTGCTACGACAGCGGTGATACCTTTAGCTGCGCCTGCCCACCGGGCTGGAAAGGCAGCACCTGCAACATCGGTGAGGTCGTGTGCGGGGCCGGGCTGCGCCGGGCCGGGCTGGGCCGGGCTGGGCCGGGCCAGGTTGCGCTGGGCCGGGCTGGGCTGACTGGACTGCTGAGTGCCTTCTCCCCCTCACAGCCAGGAATAGCAGCTGCCTCCCCAATCCCTGTGTAAATGGGGGCACATGCGTGGGCAGCGGGGATTCCTTCTCCTGCATCTGCCGAGACGGCTGGGAAGGTCGCACCTGCACACACAGTGAGATTGGGGCTGGGGTCTCCTCCCTGGCTGTCCACCCCGGTGATTCCAAGGTGGTTGAGCCACCTGCCGACTCCCTCTCCCAGGGCAGCATCCCCGGGTCTCCCAGCACCCCCTCAACCTCATCCCATAGCAGGGGATCCTGCTGAGTCTGCCCCTGATCCTGGGCTAAAAGCTGCAGGCCCTGCCCACCTGCCCTGTTCCCAGCACCCCTGGCAAGGTCGTGCTGGGCAGGTACAGCCTGGACCAACCACCCCTTGTGTCCCCTCTCAAACCAGACACCAATGACTGCAACCCCTTGCCATGGTGAGTGCCAGGCAGGTTGTGGGCAGGGGCAGGGTGGGGTGGGTGGGCCCGCCTGACAGCTCCACCTCTGCAGCTACAACGGTGGTATCTGTGTGGACGGCGTCAACTGGTTCCGCTGTGAGTGTGCACCTGGCTTCGCGGGGCCTGACTGCCGTATCAGTGAGTGGCCCAGCCCCGGGCAAGGGTGCAGGGGTGCAGTGGCTGGGCACCCCACGGTCCCACTGCTGAGCCGCCGGTGTGCTTTCCCAGACATTGATGAGTGCCAGTCCTCACCCTGCGCCTACGGGGCCACTTGTGTGGACGAGATCAATGGGTACCGCTGTAGCTGCCCGCCGGGCCGGGCTGGCGCCCGGTGCCAGGAAGGTCAGCAGGGACGGGCCATGGGCTGAGGGCCACCTGGGGCCTGGGCGCCCACACTGGCCCTGAAGTCTCATCTCCCCACAGTCATCGGGTTTGGGAGATCCTGCTGGTCCCGGGGTGCCCCACTCCCCCACGGCAGCGCCTGGTTGGAAGACTGCAATAGCTGTCACTGCCTGGATGGCCGCCGGGACTGCAGCAAGGTGGGGCCTGATCCCAGCCTCCTGGGTCTCCCGTCCGGTGCTGATCACCATGAGGACACCAGGAAGCTGGTGGCGGGGAGGGGATGGGGAAGCCGAGTGGGAGCCCTGGGGTGGAGGGCCCTGCTTCCCCCATGGGCATGACCCTGAGTGCTCATGCCTGCCCCAGGTGTGGTGCGGGTGGAAGCCATGCCTCCTGACAGCTGAGCCGAATGCACCGGGCACCCAGTGCCCACCGGGACAGCAGTGTCGGGAGAAGGCCCCAGGGCAGTGCCTGCAGCCGCCCTGCGCTGCCTGGGGTGAGTGTGGACCTGAGGAGCTGGCCCTACCTAGCACGCCTTGCCTGCCCCGCTCCGGCCATCTAGACAACAACTGTGCCCGCCTCACCTTACGCTTCAACCGCGAACAGGTGCCTCAGGTGAGCTCTGGGCGGGGGCAGTGGGCACCTGGCACTCAGACGAACCCAGCCCCTCCTGGACAAGAATGGGAGGGCGTGTCAGCAGAGTTCGCCCTCCTCTCCGGGCACAGTTGCAGAATGTCCCCTGTGTCCCACACGTCTGCCCAGGGCACCACTGTGGGCACCATCTGCTCTGGCATCCGCTCCCTGCCGGCTACAAGGGCAGTGGCCCGGGACCGCCTGCTGGTGCTGCTGTGTGACCGGTCCTCCTCAGGGCCCAGCGCGGTGGAAGTGGCCGTGGTGAGTGCCACAGGGTGGGCCCCAGGAGGCAGCAGGCGCTGAGGGCCCCAGCCGGCACCGGCCCAGCCTAGGGGAACCACATACACAGGGTACAGCCGTGTGTGTGCTGGAGGGCGTAGAGCTGGGCTGGGTGGGAGAGCAGAGAGCAGGGCCAGTGGGAAGTTGAGCTGTCTGGTGGGACAGAAAGGATGTGGGGCCCCTGAGGGCTCCCCTGTGGCTGTGGGCTCCTGGGGTGGGATGGGATCCCCAGTCCCTGTGCAGAGGCTATGATGGTGGCCACCTCATGTGTGGAGTGAGGGTGGTCAGACCTCTGAGAGGCTCTTGTGGTTGTGGGGCAGGGGCTTGGGCAGCCTGGGCAGAGATGGCCGGGACCCCTACCAGGATCCCTGGCGGGCTGGACAACTGCAGCCATGTTGCGCCTGAGGCCAAGGGTCCCTGGAGTGTGGTTGGCCCCACAGCATGGTCTGGCAGGGCTGGGGTGCTGTTCCACCAGGCCTCCCTGGCGCAGGGGCCCCTCTACTCTGCTTTACCTGAGCCCTGGTCCCGGCTGTTGGGAGGATCCCGCAGGTGGAGCCTGGCGGGAGCCTGGTCTCTGTTGGGGTGGGGAGAGGGCGACTCGGGCTAAGGACAGTGGCAGGGGTGATCCCGGCAGCAGCCAGAGAGGGTCCGCCATCCCCCACGGGACCCCCTGGAGCCTCCAAGGGGAGCCCTCAGTGCCTGGCTCTACAGTCCTTCAGCCCTGCGAGGGACCTGCCCGACAGCACCCTGATCCAGAGCGCAGCCCATGCCATCGTAGCAGCCGTCACGCAGCGTGGCAACAGCTCAGTGCTGCTGGCGGTCGCCGAGGTCAAGGTGGAAACCGTCGTCGTGGGCGGCCCCAGCACAGGTGCACGGGGGGACCCCTGCCCCTGCCCCTGCCCCTGCCCCTGGCCCAGGTCACAGGCCCGTTCACTGCCCCGTGCGCCCGCAGGCCTGCTGCTGCCCCTGCTGTGCGGCGCCTTCAGCCTGCTGTGGCTGGCCTGCGTGATCGTGTGCGTGTGGTGGATGCGGAAGCGCAGGAAAGAGCGGGAGCGGAGCCGGCTGCCGCGGGATGAGAGCGCCAACAACCAGTGGGCGCCGCTCAACCCCCTCAACCCCATCCGCAACCCCATCGCGCGGCCCGGCGCGGCCAAGGACGCGCTCTGCCCGCGCACGAACTTCGCGCCGCCGCCACGCGGAGCAGCCGAGGCCCTGCCCGGCCCGGTGGACGAGGAGGACGCGGAGGACCCCCTGGAGGTAGAGAGGTTCCTCCCGCGCACCAAAGACCCCGGCGGCTCCCCGGGCCGGCCGGTGCGCTGGGTGCCGGGCCCCAAGGTGGACAACCGGGCGCTCAGCAGTGCCCGCGAGGCCCTGTATGTGGGCAAAGAGTAGGCGGTGGCCGCGGGGCGGGCCCGGGCCCTGCCGGACTGCGAGGGCTGGGGTTCTGTGCATAGTTTCTTTATTTTGTGTAAAAAAAAAAGGGAAAAAAAAACAAACAAAAAAACTCACTGGAACCAAAACCAAAACCAAAACCCAGAAGTTTATTTTGTACGTGCCCGAACCCGTGTGTAAGTTATTCGGAGCGGTGGGCGGGGCAGGGGCGTTGGTTTACAGACATGCGGGGGTCCCCCTCGCGCAGGGGCCTCGCTCCAGGGTCCCCCATGCCCCCAGGAGCCTGTGTGGCCTGGGCTGGGAGCCGGGCCCTGGCAGCCCTGCTGCCCCAGGTCTGCCCCGAGCTTCAAAAGTGGCCTTCCCCACTGCCCGGAGCGACAAGTGCCTTTTGCAGCCCTCCCATGGAGCGCACCTGTGCGTATGTACATATTAAAGGCCCCTGTATCCGAGCACTGTGCCGTCCTTGCTGGGGTATGAGGGGTGGGCATGGCCTGGTTCTCACGGTGAGGGACAGGGCAGGACATACTCTGGCGGGTGGCCCTGGCCTGTGCTAGCCTCAGGCCCACGGCCAAGGCTGTGCCCTGATATGGCCCAGGCTCCTGGGGTTGAGCAAAGTCGGAAGGCATGTCAGTAACAAGAGTACCTCACTGGGGAGGTGCTCCCTGGGGACCCCGTCTTTGGCTCTGCCTTTAAAAGATGTTAATTGTTTGAAAGGCAGAGAAAGTGACCATCCACCCACTGGTTCGCTCCGGTACATGCCCTGAGTCGCTGGGGCTGGGTGGGGCCAGAACCCAGAGTCTTGTCGAGGTCCCCTTTGGAGATGCAGGGACGTAGGCACATACGCCAGGCCAGGTGCACACAGCCGGGGCCGGAGACCCAGGGACAGCAGGCCCAGAGGGGTCCAGCCTGCTACACCATACGCCACACCCTGGGGTTCTCAGTGGACACACGCCGGTAGGTCCTCCTGCTTCCTGGGAATGGGACCTGAGGCCCACAGCCTGGGGGTGGCTGGGAGCACATGTGGGGACCCTGGGCTACCTGTCTCCACTGGGAGAAGCCCAGCCCTCATGGTGTCATCTCAGCCGTGATGCCCTGGCCACATGGTAAGCTCCTGTCCCGTCCTTGGTGAGGCCCAGTGTGCACGTGACAGCAGAGGCCCCGGGGCGGGGGGGGGTTGGACAGGAAGCCTGAATCCTGGCCGCATGTCCTACCAGGAGGAGCACATGCCAAGGTTGACAAGCCCAGTGGGAGCAGCAGCCAGCTGATCCGGCAGAGCTTCCAGAGGCGACAGTCTACAGGCTGCACACCAGAACGGGACGCTGGACCCTACTGAAGCAGAGGTGGTGGGTGGCAGCTGAAGAGGGCCCAGTTGGGCACCGGCAGGCGGGCATGGCAGGCATCGCTGCTGTAGGGAGTGAGCTGTGAGCTGCACCTGTCTGGTTCTGTCCCCCAGTTCTGGGAAGCCATGCTGCCTTGGTGCGGGGCTCCCAGGACACAGTCCACCTCTGCCTGCTCCAGGCAAGGCACCCGGGGGAATCTGCAGCTGGCTCTGTGCACAGGTCCCATGGCGGTGTGCTGGTGGGTGGGTGCAGGCCCCCATGGATGTGTGAGCACACATGTGCAGACCCCACGGCTGTGAGAACCATGTGTGTGCAGGCCCCATGGCTGTGTGTACAGGCATGTGCAGACCCCACGGCTGTGAGAACCATGTGTGTACAGGCATGTGCCGGCCCCCACAATCCTGCCTTCCATTCTCCCTGGTCTCCCCAACCAGTCTTCCCTCGGGGGTCCTGGCTGGTGGTCACTGGGGAGTGTTGACCAGGTTCGGGTTCCTGCCCTCCTGCCTCTTCCTGCCACGCCGGCCCTGCCCTCCGAGGCCATGAGGATTCTGGGCAGAGGTACAGGCCCTGTGGCCAGCTGTGTCCCCACCCTGTCCCCACCTGGTGGGCATGCAAAGAGCCCCCAGGGTACGCTGCTCCTGGCCTGACAGTTTCCAGGGTGGGGAGGTGGGAGCTCGGGCCATTTGGGGCAATTGTTTCTGCTCTCCCACTGCTGCTGGCCAGCCTGGTCCCTTTGGGGCACCATATTTGGGAGCTGTGCCACAAGGGCATGCCCTCCCCAGGTGCTGGGTGAGCTCTTACAGGACTCCTCAGGGCACCAGGCCCTTGGCCCTGCTCTCAACCACAGCCCGGGTGGATGACAGGGTCAGGTCCTCTGGCCCTAGGAACTTGGAGCAGGGCAGTGAGGGAGGCAGCTGGTGGGAGGGGCCTGGAGGCAGGGTAAACTTTGGGGTGGCTGGACTCCGGGAGGGCTCCGGAGGTGGGTGTCGGATGCAGACTCATGGCATGGTGGCCACTCCTGGGCTCCGGGGGAGGAGGGATAGGTCACACTGTCCCCACTTGGTCCCCTTGTGGGAGCAGGACCAGTGCTGGCTCCACCCTGCCTGACCTGCACCCACCTCACCTAGCCCACGAGGACTGCGGGGAAGCGCCTCCCCCACCTCCAGGGCCATGGCTGCTTTCCGGGCAAAGGCCCGGGGGACTGCAGCAGCTGCTGCTTTGCCTGGCGACAGCACGGGCTGCCATGTCTCCGAGGAAACCAGCCCCAGTGGGGGCAGCGCGAGGAGGCCACACAGGCACCCAGGCGCCCAGGCCCATTAATCCCTGCAGGTTGGGCAGTTTGGTGCCTGGAATGGAGGGTGGGGGTTATGAGAGCAGCTCTAGCCGTGCAGAAGCTCTCATCTAAGTGCCTGGGCTGGGAGTGGGGGGCTGCTAGGGAAACATCCCAGTGTGAGCGGTGCCCTTTGCCCATGGAGTGATCCGGAGGGTGGAGGCAGAGGCTCCAGGGCACCCTGGGCCTGGAGGGTGGCACTGAGCACCGTGCTGCTCAGTCCCGAGACCCAGGTCATGGTCCACAGGCACGCAGGGACATGGGCAGAGCAGGGCCAGGTGAAGGCTGCTGCTGGAGATGGGAGCACACCAGCACTGCACAGCTGTCCCGAAGCACTGTCTAAGGCTTCTGCTGCCCTTGGTCACCCTCGTCTGAGAATATTAAATAGAAGATTCCAGAAGTGAGAATAACACACTTGAAATAATTTTTGTGCCGTTGCTGCTTGCTCTGCTCTAGTTATTACTCTTAAATTCTTACTCTAATTAAAGACTTCTGGATAAGTAGGCCACACTCAAACTTTGTGAATCTTCAGAAAGTTTAGAGTCTGTTTGTTAATTGATGTACTTTTATTGGAGGGGCAGATTTACAGAGAGGAGAGACAGAAATATCTTCCACCTGCTGGTTCTCTCCCCAAATGGCCACAATGACAGGAGCTAAGTTGATCCGAAGCCAGGAACCAGGAGCCTCTTCTGGGTCTCCCACATGGGTGCAGGGTCCTAAGCACTTGGGTCAACCTTACTGCTTTCCCAGGCCACAAGCAGGGAACTGGACGGGAAGTGGAGCAGCCGGGACAAGAACCAGCACTCATGGATGCTGGCACTTGAAGGTGGAGGATTAGCCAACTGAACCATCACACTGGCCCCATGACTTTCTTTCTTCAAGATTCATTTATTTATGTGAAAAGCGATGGGTGGAGCAAGGCGCACTTCTGTTCACTTCCCAAACCTGGAGCGGATGCAGGAACCTGCACACTCTCAGGAGTGGAGGAGCTGTGCTCTCCACCCCGGATGGAGGTGTCCCGAGCAGCCATGGCGGGTGCTGTCTCATCGTGCTGCAGGCTGCCCAGAGCCCCAGCCTGAGTTTGAGTGGTGCTGGCGCAGACATGAGCAGCACATGGCTCAGGCCTCTGACCTGGTGGCTCCGGGGGCCTTCTGGACCCAATGCACAGAACTTTCTCCCAGTTCTAGCCTGTCCTGGGGGCAGGCACAGGCTGAGTTCACAGCTTTTGTCTCTCTGCAGCATTTACATGCAAGATGCAAGGCCCCGGCTCTGCATGTTTAGCGTGTGGCCCAGGGAGTCGGTCACACGTGGACCTCTTGCCCAGTCTGTGCATAGCCAGGATGCAGGATCCTGCTGCTCTGCCTGTGTGGGCACCTATGGGGTCTGGAACTGCCACAGGCTGCGCGCTGAGTGTCCTGCTCCCCACAGAACTAGGGTGCTTCTTCCGCACCCCAGCTGCATGTGCCTGGCCTGACCAGCCCCACAAGCCTGGGCCAGCATTTGCCCAGGCTGGCAGCTGGAGTCGTGGTAACCAGGAGCTGTGTCCACGTGAGCTGTGTCCACGTGGGCAGCCCTGGCAGAGTGGAGATGGCACTCACCACCCTGAGCACAGCACAGCCAAGAGCACACAGTGCCTCTGCCTCTAGTCTCTCCGTGTGTCTGTCTCACGTGTCTTTCTCCCTCAGAGTTTCTCTCTGTCTCTTTCTTCTCCCTCTGTCTCTCCTTCTCTCTGTTTCTCTCTCCCTCTGTTTCACTCTTCGTCTCTCTCCCCTGTCTCTGTGCCTGCCTCTCTCCTCTCTCCCTCTCCTTCTCCCTCTGTCTCTCCTCTCTGTTTTTCTGCACCCCGCCCCCCAGTCACTCATGAGTTGTCCTGTGCACACCTCCAGCTCTCCCTAGGTCTGCATGTTAGCCATCTCTCATGTGCCCCATCCAGGTAGCACGGACCTCCCCAAACCTGGCCCATCTGTGGTCACTGCATGTCACACCCCCAGCCCCTGGTAACCATGCTGTCAGCTCCCGTCCCTGCAGACTGGCCAGCTCGGCACACACACACGATGGGTTGGACAGTGATGGTTTCTTCCATCTGCTGGTTCACTTCCCACATGGCCAGGGGCCAGATCTCCGTCAGATTCTCTACACTACGGGGCGGGCCCCGAGGACTCAGACCCTGCTCTACTTCCTCCCAGGAGCAAGTCAGGGAGCTGGAGCCCGTGGAGCAGCTGAAACTGGCCTGGTGCCCCAGCTGCAGGCGCCATGTGCTGGCCTTCACCTTGTAAGCTCACCAGCCGTTCCAGCCGCTTCCAGCTGTGAACATTCAGGGGCAAGCTTGG